TCAGCAGGGCTTCTTGCCTTTAATCTGTCCCAAAACTACCGCCTGTCAAGTCTAAGTACAATGCTTAGTTGTAGAACCATCCTTGTGTTAACCTCTGAATTAGGATAAAAATAGTGAAAATTTTGAAAGTCCCAGTTTGATGACCTTGCTAACTTCCAAAACAGGATTAGGGTAAACATGTGTCCACTTTATCATTAATAATGGCTAATTTGTGAATGCTTACGATGCGCCAGAAACCATTTTCAGTGCCCTATATGTATTTACTCATTCTATCCATATAATAGCACCTACTTTGTAGGAGTTTTATTTCCTCTATTTTACAGATGAGCAATTGGAGGCACTGAGCGGTTAAGTGACTTGCCCAGGTGAATGCCCAATGATTGCTCAGCCTCAGCAAGGCAGATCTTGGCCATCTGGTCTACTTCTCCATCCATATCATTCACACTCCTCCTTGTGTTCCAAACCCTAGTCATCCTGAACAACTTAGGATTCTTTGGATAGACAGTGTGCTTAACTGCACCACCACCACCCACAAACTCATTCTTGCCTTTGTACATGACTTTTCTCTTTACTCACTGAACTACCCACCTCTTCCAATTGGCAGGAAGTTTTATTCCATAAGTGAATGAAAGTAAGAGTCCTGTAAAAATGTATTACTATGTTCAAGGTTCAAGAGCTGCTCTGGTAGGAAATACCAAAGCTTTCTCCATAACAAGTTATTCTTGCAAAGTTGTTTCTTATCTCAAAGCCAGAATTCACTACACAGATTGCCTGGGGTTGTCTTCTATTCTCTGTGACTCCTCCCTTACAACCCACTCCATCCTTTCCCTCTGGCTCCAGCCTGCTTTCGGGAAAGATCTGCCCACTGTGACCTTTGGTCACTGACAGAAGTTGATCTGGAAATGGAAGTTTTCAGACCTCCATTCAACAGCTGCCACCCCTTTTCCTCAGGACTCCATTTCAGAGGACATACTTCGTTTTTCAAATCATTTTCACCATATCCAAAATTAACCACTGAGCTTGATGATGGGAAGCCCATATGTAATACACTTTGCCCAAGCCACGTGATATCAGAGCATTGGTTTAACACTGCATTGAGAAATGGGCATCCAATGGTTTTAATGACTTTTTAAGTTATAGATACAGCATCTCTCCCATGTTTTCAGACAACTTTAAACACATCATTACAAGGAAGAGGACATGGGGTGGCTTCATAGAAAGAATACAACATCATAGAGCCAATTCAATAAACATTACTTAATAGCAAATTTTTCAATTTACCAAGAAGGTTATAACAGATGTGTCAAAACTATTTTTTAACTGAATCAATGCCTATTTATTCATCATATGACACTTTAAATAAAGTATGCTAAAAAAGATACCCAGTACAGCGTACTGATAATAGCAACAAAGAGAAAAAAATAAAATGGCATTAAACAAATCATGCCTAATTTTTAATTGCCCACATATTCATAAAGCATCAGGGCACCAAGCCTAATGCTAGGGATACAATATTAAAAACATACGGCCCTGCCCTCATAGAGCTTCCATTCTATTATGGGAGACAGGCACTAAAAGAATTACGCTGTGTTTTCTTCCAGCAGTAATGACAATATTCCATCCTAAATAAGAGGAAATAGTAAAATAATATGTAGACATAGTAAATAATGTCTAAGAGGTTTCAATAATGACAGAAAAATTTATTACAAGAATAGTATTTAATAAAAGCAAGAAACAATTTTATAAGGCTTATGATCTCATCGGTATTCTTTTTTTAAAAGGTATAGAAGGAAGATTTAATGGTTGTAACATCCATTTATAAGAATAAATAATTGAGACTGGCTAAGAAGAATGATGAAAAGAACTTCTGCTCCCAAATAGGAAAACATATTTCCAAGCTACAATAAATTGTTCAATAAGAAATGGGTGAGAATCAATGAATCTCAGGAGTATGGGACAGATACCTATACAAGGGTCTGTTTCTGGACTAATACGGTTTTTTAAATGTTTTAAAAGTGGCATTTTTAAACCAGTGAGAAAAGGATAAACCAGGCAATAACTAGTAGGTTAACTATTTAGAAAAATAAACTTAGACATTTGTATCACATCATAAATTTCAAATGCAATATGAAATTTCAAATGCAATATGAATCTCACTGATAAAGCTGAAAATAATACATATATTTTATATAGTAATAAATCCAAAATATCATCAAATAACAAATTATTAAGTTGCAAAAAATTCTAAGTGCATTTCGATGGTAAAATTTTAAAACCATTAAATGAAATTTAGGAAACTACTAAACTAATTTTGCAGTTGGCAGGCATTCTAAGCATAAGAGAAAAACCATTTTAAAAGACAAAGATTTGAATTTCTACACAGAAAAAAATCATGACATATATCCTACACCATAAATAGAGTTATTACACAATAAATATAGTTAAATGGCCAGCTACTAACAGGGAAAAATGTTCGCAACGTACAGCAGGTAAAAGGTTGATGATAGCCCATAAGGTATGCTCTTACAGTCAATAAGACATAAACATCCTGATAGGAAAATGTGCAAAGGACGTGAACATAATTGATGAAGAAATAAAAAAGCTCAATAAACATTTTAAAATATTCAAAAATATTAGTTATGATAGAAATGCTAATTTAAGATTAAATTCTGTTTCACTAATCAGATGAAAAATGATAATGTCTAATATTGGGAATGAGACAGTGAAATGTATCTCACTGGCCAGCATAGAAATTGGCACATTCTGCCGAAAAGGCAATTTGGTAAATATATCAAAAACCTTATTCAAACTCTGTGATCCCATAATTTACTTCTAAGATATTTATCTAAAAATAAATAAATAATCAACATTTCACAAAAACAACTAAAACTAAGTGTCCATACTGTGAAACTAGATAAGTAACACAACTATGAAATGTAACACTATGCAGCTGTTACAGAAACTTAAGTTCGCAAAACATTTTTAATGACATGAGGAAATTAAGAAAACAGGATATGTGTGGTTATAACTTCAAAAGATTTATAAACAAATAATGTAGCAACAAGTTTAGCAGTAGTTCTGAGGTTCAATTAGAGATCGTGATTTTTTTTTAATTTTCTTCCTTACACTTTTCTAAATCATCCAAAATTTTTATAATGAACATGTATTATTTTAATAATCAGGAAAATGCATCTTAAAAAATGAATACACAAAATTAAAACAAGATGGTAAGACCATAGGGCAACTCTTTTTCCCTCTCTTAACTTATCTGTATTGAGCAAAGGATAAACTCCTTTAAGAAGACGTGGTACGCTGACTGCCAAACTCTGTCCAAAGCGGACTTATTAAAGGAGGGAGGGACTGGAGGGAAGGTGGGGAAGGCAGTCAAAAGCCTTACAGACGGGGCAGAGGCAGGCACACTCAGGGTCCGGGTCCAGCAGCAGGGCCTCAGAACCACTCACTCTTCAGCACCACTGGACAGGGCCAAGAATAAGAACTGCCTCGGAGTACAACACTCCGTAAATATCACCCAATTTCTTCATGCTACATTTAGGCAAGAAGGCAGAGGCCCAAAGAGGAACTGCCTAAAGGTACACAACAAGTTGGTAGCATCTGATCTCCCATGAAAGAGAAAGGAAAGTAGCGGAAGCCACTCTACAAACAAGCAGATGCACAGAGGTATCATCCACATGGCCACATCACCGCCATCAACAACCACCAGCCTCAGGAAATGGAGCACAGATCTTAGAGCCTGAGCCAGGCACCCTACTGTTGACCGAGCATGGCTTGGTGACTCACTGATGCCCAAAAGCTACGTACAGGGATAAGCATGCCCTTCCACGGAGCCACGTCAACAATGGGAAGGGGCTGTTTCCATCCAGAGGCAGATGCAGAGCCACCTGCTGATTCTGAGCTGGTTCTTTTGCCCAGAAGCTGGCAAGTTCAGCAGTCAGAGGAGAGCTTGATGATCAGGTTGGATCTCCACCTCCGACTAGCACCCGAAACTGAGGAGTCAAAGTTCTACAGAAAAGAGGCAGCCTGTGTGGGACAAACCACTAGCACGCTGCAGCTCCCTTGCAACTTAGTGCAACCCTACAGAAACCGCTGTGTTCCCCTGCTCCTCTGCTCTTCCCATCTAAAGCCGAGGGGCAATTAATCCACTCGATGCCAGGGTGTTTATGAGGTGGCCCAGGAAGGAAGTGCAATAAACATAAACACATAATCATCCAGAAAACACAAAATCACTATCCATCAGGACACTGATCCACGGGTCCTGACAAAGGAAATCAGAAATTGAACAGCCGCTATCATACCGAACACTTCACACACCCTCATTCTTTCAAACATCACAAAATTACACTTGCCATTTTACACATGAGAACACTGAGGCTCAGAGAAAAAGACAGCTCAGAGTCACAGCGCTAGGAAGTGCTAGAGTTGGAATTTAAACTCCAAAGCCCATGCCATTTCTCTCAGGACACAGTGAGAGATCTTGTCCCCATCGTCACAAAGCATTTCTGTCTGGCACATGTGGAATCCAGCCCCACTGCTGCCCTAGGACAGGGCCAGTCTTCCCACCACTGACAGGTACAGCTCCAGACAGGACAGCAGATATAGTACACCACAGGTGTTTAATCTATGTCCAGGAAAAGACATCAGTTGTGGTCATAGTAAATAACAATTACGACAGTGTCTGCAATCACTGAGCATGTGCTGTGTGGAGGGTCTGTACGAGGAACGTTACCCCATTTGGCCTGAATAACAACAAAGTTGATGTGTACATTTTTCAGATGAAGACCCTGAGGCGAGGTTCAGGGTCTCACAACTAGAAAATGGAATCTATCTGACACCACAGCCTCTTCCCAAACCCCACCTCTCCCACTGTGACAAGGTAATGAGGCCAAATGGGTGGTTCAGGACAACTTCCCCTTCCCTCTAGGTAGTCTCCCCGGACCCCGAGTTCTGCCCTAACCCAGTGCTCTGGCCACTACCTTGGTTGAGGTAGGTCAGTGTCTCTTCATGCAGCTTCACAGCTGGGGACGTGGCAGCGCACAGCACGTACTGCAGGGGTGGCAGGCGGGCATCATTCTCAGGGGAGAGCTGGGGCTCCTCCTGCTTGAAGATGGGCAGAGCGAGCACATCACTGCAACACATGGGAGGGGGTTGTCAGGAGCAGAGCCCCAAGAGCCCATTTGCAAAGAGAGAGCCAAGTTGGAGAGGTGGATGCGGAGAGAGGGAGGGGATCAAGGGCAGCTCAGCAAAGCATATGGCCGTGTGCTGGTTCAGCTTCTCACACCTCATATCACAAACTCTTTGAAGCTTCAGACAGAGCAAACCAGTCTGTGATGATTCTACTTTCTCTCAATGATCCTCAAGAGATTTATTCAAACAAATCATCAATGAGGTAAAAATACATAGTTATCTAATATCTAAAGTTACGGAAATCTCTGTAACAAAGGGACTACCAGCGATGGAGTGAACTTTAGATGCCATATGGTTTCCAACGACCAGATAGTGATAATTATCGTCTTATTTTAGAATAAGACTGAACAAAAATTAATTTTTAAATAAACTACTCTATTTATTGGCCACTTCTCAGACCAATACCCTGCCCTCAGGGCTCTGTAAACTATGCAAATACAGAAACTGTTTGCTTCACTCTCCCAGGTTGAGACATCCCCCTGACCCTTCTAAAAAAAAAGAAAAAAGACAGTTGACCCATAACCCCTATTCGAAAGGTCATACTAATATCTCTTAAAATATAAAACAAGAAGGAAGGACTTTGGTTTCAATTCCATTTTCTTATCCAAATGAAAAATAGTAAGATGCTCAGATTCTTTTCTTCCACCTATGAACAAAACTCCCCACCATATCCCAAAAAATCAGCCTCGCATCAGCCTATGACTGGAGAAGTATTTTTAAATGCCCTCACAAAAAAAAAAAAAAAAAAGAAATCCCTGAGACTACGGATGACCTGCAGGCAGGAGAGACTCTTTTAAGATCTCTAAATTATGAGTGGCAAGAAAACAGGTGCCAAAAAAGTACCAGTGCCCTTATCTTGATAACCCTCCTCCCTCCCTGTGTCCCAGGTTATGAATCAGATTCATTGACCCCACTTCACTGTATAAACAGCAGTCACTGGTACAATTTGTTCCTCATACAACACAATAAATGAGCGTCTCTAAAACACAAACCCAGCACACACCCCAAAAATGTCTAACTAATTCTCAGAAGGAAAAGCTGGGCTCGGAGTACAGCTGTGTGTACACCTCGCCTGCCACCGTGTGTGGCCCATAAGACCAGAGCGCAGTGCTGACTTGGCTCCCCTCACACTCAGCCTTCCTTTTAAAAAGACTGGCACACTCCTAGCCTAGGTGGTTATCGAGGAACAGGTGAGAGGCAGGCAGGCCTGCTCACCTGGGGATTGCATAATTTTATGTTTGCCCAGACCATGTTAAGTTAATAATCCATGGGCTGCTGCCTTTAAATTAAAAAAAAAAAAAAGTGGGGAGGGAGGGTAAGAACCATCACTCAACAGTAACTTGTTTCAAGCCTGGCATCCTTATTTGCCAAGGAATAAAAGTCACTAGAACACCAAACAGAAAAAGGGAAGAAGGGAGTAAAGGCTACTACCCCTGTACTCCTGTATGGTCAAACAACTTGCAGAAGTTCTGCAGTGAGGAGAAAACCAAATATAAAATACAAAAAAAAAAAAAAACAACAAGGAAATGAACAAGACCCTCACTCTAGAGTTGGGAGGATCAGGGATCTATTCATTGACCCCTTCCTTGGCCTTCACTGAGGTCAACCTCTACAAGGCGAAATTCCCAGCTTCTAAGAAGTAAAAAGGGCGTGGCAGGGGGGGACCAAATGCTTCTTTATCCATGGACCCAAAATGACCCCAGAAACCAATATGTCTTTATGGCACCTTTCACCCCAACTCCTGCCCACCTCTCAATGCAATACCAAAATCCTAAAAGGTATCTCAGTTATTCCACAGATAAATTTTCATTTCATAGCAGAGGAACCTCCCATGCAAAGAAAATTATCCTCTACCGGGATGCTATTTTAAGTACCCAGGAAATTTTTAATACACTCACCCTCCACTCAAGGTCACCTTTAAAATCATTTTTAAGGTATGGGAATACACTTGATGGCAACAAACTAAAACTTACGGAAAACTACACCTAAAATTGCATCACGCAGTACAATAAAAATGTATTTCGTTGTAGCATTTTGTGTAAGTGAATGGACACTTAATCTTCTGCCTGGGATTAACATCTGCCCAGTGGGCTTGGACATCCCCCAGAGCAGCTTCCCTCTGCAGACATCACCAAGGTCTGCAGGGAGGTCATCAGTCTTTAATTAAGGCCTTATACTTATGCCATCTCCTACTACTCTGGCCATGAATAAAAAACTGCGGACACATCAACTCATTCTTTTGCTTTTCAGAAGGGGTAGGTCTTCGGGGAGGATGACTGGACAAATACCTAATAGAAGTCAGAATTTACAAATAACGTGTACTGTTAAATCTCAGAAGGAACTTCTTGGGATCAAAAAAAGCACTCTCGGTGTATCTCTTTGGGGTTCTCCGTGCCAGCGACTCCCTAGGCCTCACAATTCACTTTCTCTGAGCCCTACCAAGCCGTTTGGGTTAAATTAGGCACATTTCATACACTGTGACCAGGATAGAAATAAAGACAGGCCAAAGCTGGTTCAGTTGAGTTCAGAGCGAAATGACTGCCCATTAGTACCCGATCAGCTGCAGAAAAGGGGCAAACGATCCTCCAAGGACGGAAGCTAACGGGGTCCTTCTTCCTTTGGGGGACAGGAGAAAACTTTCCGAACAGGCAGGACTTACTTTTTCTTTTGAAGAGCACTAGTCAGTAAAATCCCCGCAGAAGAAAGACTTCCATCAAGAACCATAAACATAGGGGCCTCAGGTCAAAACGCTCAAGACCACCTGGAAGGAGGGGGCAACCTGCCCCTCCCAAGCCTTTGCTGGCGCCCTCGAGGCTGCAGCACAGGTCAGCGCTCAGCGTTCACCGCTCACTAGCCCCTCGGCCGGACCAAGGACATTAGAGAAGGCGCGAGGCTCGGAGAGGGACCGGGCGAAGAGGGGCAAAGAGCAGGGGACTAGACTTCTCAGGGGCAGGCACCCCTCCGACGCCAACGGTGAGGAGACAGGGGACGAGTACGCAGCGGAGGAGGCTGCGGCCAGCAAGAGCGCGTCCCGCGCCCGCCGGAGGTCATCATGGGAGGAGCCGTTCCCGGCACCGGTCTCTGCAAGACGGGCCCCCAACACTGCGCTTCCACTCCTGCCAGGGTCCGTGGGTCCGTCCGTCCGTCCGTCCGTCCGTCCGTCCCTAAGCGGGACTCTGGGCAGCTCTCTCTCCCTCAGTCCGCAAAGAACAGACAGTGGGCAAGTGGGGCGCAGCGGGGGCGCTGGGCACCCCGGACATTGCAGCTACCCTCCACGCCCCGCATGTCTGACGACCCTCGCCCGCTGACTTGGCCCAACACCGCGGTGGGATCCCCGTTGGGCTGGGCAGCGCGGCCCTTACCGCAGGTAGCTGCTGGAGTTGTGCTGGTTGTAGTGCTCGGGCTGCGTGTGCCAGAACAGCATGGCTGGAGCTCCAAGCCCGCCACGACCTGGGCGTGCAGAACTGGACACAAGACGCGAGACCCCCAAATGGTCACCTGAAAGTGCGCTCCGAAACGCCGCGCCCGCCCGCGGGGCGCCTTTATGGACGGCCCAGGGGGCGGGACCGAGGCCAGACCCTCCCCTCAGGCCGCGCGACCGGGAGGCGGCTCCCCGCGGCCACCGCACCTGGCTGACCGCACTGGCGCGCCCTTCCCGCGAGCTAGTGCGCCTCCCCGGCGCCGGACTAGATAGAGCGGGCGGCGGGGCTGCTGGCTGAGGCTGAAGCCCAGCTCCTCTCCCTCCCACCGGGGGTGGGGCTCAGGTGACCCTCACCGCCCCTCGAATGGCCTCACGCACCTTCTCCGCGCCCCGCCCATTGGCTCTGCGCGCCATGCTGGTCCCCAGAGCCGCACCGTGGTTGGAAAGAGGCCGATCCGAGCTTGGATGTCAGGCACCAGGGCCAAGACACGCTCTGCTCCTTAGCATGCTCTTATTTATTGATAGATTTATAGCACTTTACTCTCTCTGAAATAGTGGTATTTTTTTTTTTTAGTGTGTTGTCTTTCCTCCTAGAATGTAAGCTCCAAAAGAGAAAGGCCTGTTCTATAACTCACCGTGTTATCTCCCCTGCCTAGAAAAGTGCTTGAGACATAGTAAGTGCTTGATAAGTATCTATTAAATAAGTATGAAAAAAAAAGAGAGAAAAGAAATGCATCCAGTAAGTAATCAGAGAAGTCTTCCTGGAGATGACATTGAGCTGAGGCCTTGTGGATGATGAGGAAGCATCTCTATGAACATCTAGAGGAAATGCAGTTCCAGTCTGGAACAAGAGTAATGGCCAAGGCCCTGAGGCTGACTTACTTTGACATGGCTGGGGCTGGATGACCAAAGGGAAGGCTTAGGGGATGAGGTGGGAGAGGTGTGCAGGGCCGATCACGGAGGGCCTAGCAGGCCCTGCAAAGAGCTGGATTTAATTCTGTGTGGTTTAAGCAGAGCAGTCACATATCTGATTTGCCTTTGGGAAAGATCAATCTGGAAGAAGTGTGGACAGTGGGTCACAGTGAGGGGTCAGTTAGAAGGGAGTGGAGGTCAAAGAGCCATAACCCACACCCTAGTTTCTGTCCCTGAGTGTTAATCGAATGGAATGAAGTCCCATGGAGATTAGGAATTTCCAGCTCCTTCCTCAGTCTGTTCTCTCTGCTCCCCTCCCTCCCGCCACAGTTGGTAAGCAACTTGCGCTGAGCAGCTCTCAAGGACTACCACCTCCCCACTGTACTTCTGTTCCATGAGGAAATGAAAAGGTGCCTCTCAGATCTCCCCTCAAGGAAAAACCTGTGGCACTAGGCACAGGTAGTGCTGTAAGCAGACAGCCCTCAGCTGCCAGCCTCTTCAGGGAATGCCTCTGCTGCAGAGAGCCACTATGCAGTCAGGAGTGTAAGTCTGGCCATCTACACGGACAGACGGGCTGTTTTAGCCCCAGGACTCCCCGTGAAACCAGCTGAAGCTTTCAGGGCC